ATTTTAATATTATTTTAATTCGATCAACATGAACTGTAACCTGGACGGTCGGCGGCGTGAAATACATACTGATAATTTCTGATTTCTGCCGTTGAAGCGCTGCGGTCGCAATTTGTTGATATCAACTGAAATGCACCAAGCCTATATTGCCAACTATAGTATGTCCCCTTGATTATTAAAAATTAATGTTCTTGCTTTATCCACAACGAAGTTAAAGGGGGTCAAAAGTGCAGAGTTGCTTCGAGGAAAAGATGGCACGGCTGTGTTCGACTTGGTAGATATTTACATTCTAAAAAGAAAAATCTGCCAAAACCCAAAACACTTTCAGGCATAACAAATTTTCTTAATTATTCAATTCACATAATTGATTTTATTTATATTATTTTAGAAATAAGGCACAGGCTAAGAATACCGAAAGTAATTCGTGCCCACGCGTATTCTAATCTATATTTAATGAACATTTATTTTTAGTACGACAGAAATGGTGTAACTTCACGACCCTGGAGTAATAAAATGATAGGCGGTCTACAGGTTTATAACCTGTGTGAAATATAATATGATATATCAGGGTTTCAGAATATTAATAGCGTAGGAGTAACAAAGAATACCCAGTTCTTTAACATTATAATCTAATTTTTCTCTTGATTGACATTTAGAAATTGATATAAATAGATTTTTTCGATTGTCATTTGTTATAAATATCAATTTTCCTATTAAATAAATATTTTATTACATTATTAATAATTCTATATTATCATTTAAGGTCCAGAACAATTCAAATTTACAAAGGAATGAAAGAAGGCAAATGAATGAACGTCCGCATTTTTCTAGGACGGTGGACGGTTAGTTCTTGTATTTTGTAGTTATTTTATATGTAGTCTCTGTTTTTGCTGAAGAAAAAATGCAAGATTGGATTGCGTTGACAAGGAACGAAGCATACGTAACATTCCATTTTTTTGCTATTCCATTTTATTCTATTATTTAAAATATAAAAAAAATCAGAAATACCAAGAAAAAAAATAAAAAGTACTAAGAACAAATAAACATAAAATATAAATCTACTAAGAACAAATAAAAATGTACAAAATAAAAAAAAAATGTAAATGAACTTAAAGAGAAAAAGAATTTGTCTCTGACTGAAGAGTAGAGAAAAAATAGAAATACAAACAACAGTCGGCTATTTTTCTTATAGGCTTGGAGCATTTTCTGCCGGTGCTGCCACAATCGGAGGATATCGTAAACAACTAGTATATACAAATACACGGGTTTAAATAGCGAGTATATGAAATATTTATTATATAATTATTCTAAAAGTGTTAAACAGCCTCTACACTATGCGGAGAACTCTTCGAAACAGGTCAAGGTCTCATTTCGTCGCCCAACTTTGTCGCATTTCGATTTATTTCCAGTTGTCTTGACCCACTTCGGTGTGCCTCGACCTACTTTCGACTCTTAAAAGCGCCTGAAAACTACTCGTGAGGAGGGCGGGGGTGGGGGGATTTTTTTGGCGTTTCTTGTTGCCTCGTTCAATTTTGTTTCGTTTTGAGCTATTTCCAAAACGTGGCGGTATCTGTACCCGAGGCAAAGGATTTTTTTCCATAAACCTCAGTGAAATAAGCAAACCTAGACGTTTCTAAAATTGTTACGATGATATTTCGTTAATTACATCTCGTTTTATGTTGATATATATTCCACCATTATTTGAAAACGCGTTTATAATATGTATAGTAGATATTTAGGAACAAAAATTTTCACTTAAACTGAAGGAATATAATTACAATATTTTTATGATTTAATTTTATTATAATGAATTAGTATATAAAATCTGTGTGAGAAACTATGAAGCTATAAAATGTTGTTTCGGGAGAGTTGAGTATCCGGGAAAGTTGAGTTATTGAATGTTATTGAAACCAACAACGCCTTAATTACGCTCTTCTTTACGCGTTAACATTTTTTCAATTTTTGGCAATTTTATTAACATTATTTGAAATTGTCACAACACAACACCTAGTTCGGATTCTTTGCACCATTTTTAGCCGACCATACCAATAGGTATGGTAGGCTATTAGGATTGGCAAAAAAAAGTTTTCTTAATTTCACTCAAAATGAGTTATTTGGGTCATAAATGACCTAAATACAAAATATTTTTGTGGTGTCTGTCTGTCTGTCTGTCTGTCTGCCGTCTGTAACACGATAGCTCAAAAACCGCTGAACCGATTTTAACCAAATTTGGCACAAAAATACTGTGGCACCCGAGAATCTGGCCATTAGTTTTTGGTGGGGGTGGGGGGTTGGTAAGGGGGTATAGGAGGGGGTTAAAAATTTAAAAAAAAATCGTAACTCCAAAATTACAGTAGTTAGCGAAATGCGGTTTTCAAATTAAGATTAGGAATAATATTTTCAATAAAATCCATACATATATAAAAGCTCAAAGGGCTTTTGAGCTTTTATATATGTTTTTTTTTATCCCGCCGAAACTGCTCATGATGATTCTTTTTTTCTCATGATTTTCTCAAATCATGATGATTCTTTTTTTAAATGAAAGGTATATATGTCTAGATTTGTTATGAAGTATTTTTAAATTGTTGAATGGCTATTTCTTTGTGTAAATTGACTAAATATTAAAACATACCTGAAAAACACCTACAAACAATACCTCCAGAAATAAATTATTTGTCATTGTCAGTGGTTTGTCAGTTAGATTATATATCAAGGTTTTAGATATTTTAGGGATCAGTTCATACAGCCAGCTTTAGATACATAAATATTAGAACAAAGGTTCGTTTAAACGACATTAGTGAATTATCTACACAAAGCGATTTTAGGAAATTCATCCTCTTAGAGAGTAAAATTATGTCGGAACAATTTGTTGTATGAAAATTCCTTAGTATGTGATCTAGAAGAATGAAATCCTACAAAAAGAATTAGAAGAGATTTTTGAAATTCATCAACCAAATAAGTAAAGTTAGTAAAAATTTATATAAAACTTGGTGACCTCTGGATTATACACTATAAATTGGCAAAAAGGATCATTTAAAAGACATTTTTGTTTTGGAAATTTGGAATTTTTTGAAAAACCTTTTAGATTTTTTTAAGTTTTTAGTTAAAAAACAAAATTTCTTGATAATATGGCAACATAGATAGGTAGTAGATTAAATTTACAAGACAGAAAAACCCGAAAAGCTGCAGTGTTTCTCAAAATTTAAGCAAAAAAAAATTTTTTTTGGAAATTTTTAAAGTAATTCGAAAGAGTTATTTGAAAAACGATAAAGAGAAAATATGGTTTTTTATCGAGATCTACCAGCACTGAAAATATTTGCACTTATTCAAAACTTGCCCTGTATAATACCCAGAAAATCGACAATTGATAGCTTTCATATGAAATAAGAGTAGCTCTAAAACTCTTAAAAACATAGTTTAAATAGGGCATTTGTAAAGCTTGATTTTCATGCATCCGTTGTCCGACGATACGATGATGCGATATTAATTTTATTGGTTGAATTTAAAGACTTCGATTGGTTAACCGTTTCTAACCAATTGAAGCTTTTAAAGTCAACCAATAAAATTAAAATCGGACCATCGTATCAACGGATAACGGACGCATGAAAATCAAGCTTAAGGCTCACTAGCTCTATATACAAAGTAAATCATTTAAATCAATGCATGAACTATTCGAGGTGTAACGCGAACGTAGTCGCGGGAAAAACCTAGTTTATAATAACATCAAAATCAGTCAAAGTCGCAGTTTTCGAGATATTAACATATTTTAGTTTGGGCGGCTATATGTGCCTCCCGGCGCCAATTTTTTCTATTCGAAACAGCGTTACATTGATCACACAAACCTATGCAAAATGCTAAAATACTTAAATATTACCACAAATATTACCACGATTTCAATATTATTTTAATGCGATCAACATGAGCTGTAACCGGGGCGGCGTGAAATACATATTTATAATTTCTGAATTCTGCCGCTGAAGCGCTGCGGTCGGAATTTGTTGAAATCAACTGAAATGCACCAAGCCTATAGAGTTGTAACTGTTGCTGTTATTTTTTTTCACACTAATAGTGGTAGTTGTACCATATCCGGGCTGTAACCAGCCAAGGACACGACGAATATAGTCAATAGGGTGAGACAATTCTTCGAATAATTCCGACAGTACCAAGCACCACTGCTTTTTGCATCCACATGATGGTATGATTCGGGAGGTTTAGTTACTTTGATATATTGGTTTGTCATTTTGTGTACAAGTCCATTGGCACTTATTATTAACGGCACCTGTAACACTTATCGAGCCAACATTTTATACAAATACCCCGACTGAAACTTCTGACCAGCTCAAGCTGTCCCTCAAGCTGCTCCCGACTTTTTGCATACAACTTGAGGTCATCCATGTAAAATAGATGTGTAAGCTTCGCTCGGTCATCAATCTTGTATCCATATGTGCGTCGGTTTAGCATGTTACTCAATGGGTTCATAGCAAGACAAAACCTCTCCTTGTTAGTGATTATAGTTATCGGTAGAGATTAAGTTATACCTTAGTTAAGATAATAAATTAATGTACATAGTAAAAGTGTGTATTGTCACATTGAATATGTTTATTAAAATATACTCGTATATTTTTCGTGTATTTATTATTCCCAACAATAAAATCAATAAATAACAAAAACCTATTATTTGAGGCTGCTTATTTATAAATAACAGTAACAGTTCCAACTTTTATGTAGAAACAACAGTTCTGGCCACTTCTAACCGATACGTTATTCCCTTACGCGGTATACAGGATTAATCATACAAAAAAATATCAGGTTTTGTGTTTTATTAAGTCTCCTTACCGTCGTCTCTTTACATACAAATTTCCCTCGCACGAACGAAGAAAGGAAATGAGAAAACTGATAGCGGACCAGGTAAAAAAAAAACTCTGTTCGGCTTATCTGTTTTCCGTTTTCGATTTTTCCCGGCCCGGCGAACAAATAATAAATGGAGGGAAGATACGAACCTTTCGCAAGCGAAGTTGGGGGGCGGCGTGGGCGTTCTCGACATGGGAAAACTGGCAACCTCGCGGCCTCCCGCCAACGATCGGATCGATCCGAACGACGGTTCGGCCGGCGACTGTTGAGCTGCCGGCGCTACCGCCAGAGCGCCCCTAAAATATAAAAACAATGTTATTATTTTCATATACATAAATATGGTTGATTCTGCTCAGTCATTATATAGATAATTTTTTTTACAAACTGGCTAAAAACTACCGTGTCGGCGCTATAGACAATTTTCGAGAGGAAGACAGCCGATAGATGGTTTTACACAATGACTAAAGAATACAAGGACAAATAACACCAACAACCAGATTGTTACCATACCACCAAACAGTGCCGTGGCACATATTTTTCTTAACATAGCCGCTTGAAGAGATATTTATATTTTTGATAAATGTTTTGACTACGCCTGTGGTATATGCGGTGGTATCGTACTAATTACGGAAAAAACGTACTAAAATGTTAATATAGGTACAAAAACTAGTATCGACGTAGAACACATATCAAGTACATATAATATCAGAAAAAAAATTATTGAATTCAATAATAAAACTAAGAAAACGCTAAAAAGGTGGTGTGAACTGTTTATTTACCTATGAAACGTACTCCTGGCTCTTTCTTATCGCTGCGGCTTTTACACTTAAAAGCTGAACAACTAAGCACCATTTTGATTGCATTATACAGTCTCTAAAAGTTAGGTTAGTACCTAGCAAACAAAATATGCGTGTTTTGATTTCTTTGGTTTCACTTTTTTGGTTTGTTTTTTGGTTTTTCTCGGTACGGTTAGGTTAGATCAAATAAATTACAGAATGCCACAGTTGTACGGCAATTATCTACCAGATTAAGTTCATACCGCGTTTGCCGGGAGGACTTGTTTAGTACCTGTTTAGGTACTATCTCCATAATTATATCCTACACGTTAAAATGCAGACTACTGAATTAGGATATCTAGGACTGTACAACACTGTTTAGGACATCCAAAGCACTTTAATCTGATAATAGCCTAAAAATTTAAAATAATTTTATAAAAACAATGCTTTTAATTTAATATTGTTTGAAATATTTTTTAACATACCGCACAATCAGCCAGAAAAAGAAAGGAAAAAGCTATTTGTGTTATATATTTAATATATTGGAAAAATGCGGACGTAGATTTTTTTTCGATCTTTACGTCGTTAGACTGCGGTCTTGGCACAAAAGCAAAATTGCTCGAAATACATATAAAATTCACGGAAACATGATCGATAAAGGAAACAGCCAGGACGGCCATCAATATTATATAAAGTCGATTTAAATTATTCCTAGTGGCTAATTATCATAGTGTTTATTTTTGGATCGTTTTGTAAGTATGTGTTACGCAACATTGTGACCATTTATAATTATTTTTGTTATTTACTAGTCTTAATGAGACAGGAAGTTAAAAAGCTATTGAATTAAAGAATAAAGCTTACGAGGGGATAGGATCCCATAAAATTATTTTTTTAGATAGGTACTTTCAAGAAAGTAGGAGGTATTTTATTAATTTAGAAAAAAAATCACGAGAAATGTAAAATATCTCTTCGCCTCGTGGTGTGTTAGTAAAATGTAATTCTCTTTCTTTGCAGACAATATAATATATATTATACATATATTTAATCAATTGAAAGGAGCTTTACAAATTTCCTTTTTTTCTGTCACATTTCTTTTTTGTTTTTTCTTATTTTTGTAAAAATAACTATTTGTAATAATCTAATATACCTAACATGTAATTATTGTCAATCGAAAATGCCTAGTACCTAGACCTACCGAAAATCGCGATCTCGAAAGTAACGTAACGACTGCAACGGGAGCATCAACGCCAATAGCGACCGACCAAAGCGCGTTAGACGAAAACCCGACCCTAGGAGACCGCGACCGCTTGAGGCGACCGCTTCAGCGAAACGCGTCGGTATAGGTCGTTACCAATTACCAACGAACAAACGAACAGCGACAAACGAACCCGCGACGGATGGAACGAAACACGTAGCGGTCGAAGTCGCGCGTCGCTACGTAGTTACCGCTACTATTCGTGGTCATAGGAGCGCGACGGCTTTAGAGAAACACATCGCTATGTTCTTCGGTCACTGCGGTTCGAGCCAATTCCAAAAGCGATTATAATTTATAATTTCGTCGTTATTATGCTCGTCGTTCTTCAGTAACAGGTTCCTGATTCGTTGTGGAGCGCGATACGACGTTACAAAAAATACCGCTACAAAATCGCGTTCTCAAATACCGACACATCACTAATACTCATGCCTTCGATTTTACATAAAACCAATAAAAATTATCATTCTCTGTCAATTTTAGACATCGAAAATGTACGTGTAACATGGTTTGTTTTATTTTGCAAACTTTTAGCAAATTCTCGAATAGATTAATGTGTTTATTAGTTATTACAATCTATTTAAACCATAAAACCGTGGAGTAGTAGTCGTAATCAGAAGTGTTGTGGCCGATAAAAACCTCATTTTATTATTGTGTTTCCTCATGATGTTTCAACTAATAATAAAAACAATTTACGAATACTATTTCATTTTATGCTGAGAACTAACATGGAGAAGTAAATGCCAAATGATCATTAAAAGGAATTATTAGAAACAATTTGGAATAACTGTTCTACATCTGTTTTATTTCTGTTTTAAATTGGGGCGAGAACAAACCAGGCCGCGAGAACAAACCAGGAATCAGCGACTGTTTATAGTTCATAAAAATTGTCATTTCAGATCAGATGCGTTATTTTTTTATCAACATCATGGTTGTTAGGGGGTTTCGATATACAGTATATATCCGAACTGTATTCCGGAAACTTTGGCAGTTAGTTAAAAAAATAATTAAAATAGTTTGTTTTATGTTTCATAAAAATAAATGTTAAAATGTAATATACAAAATACCATGTGAATGCGATAAATTTTACATTGGTGAAATTGGAGGATTTTTTGGAGAGAAAAAAATAAACATGTTGAGAAATGATTTTTATTTTTTTTTCAATCAATCATAAATTTTTCTTCGAACAAATGATGATAAAACAGTTTTTGTTGAACTTTTGGCACACAAATATTTCAAGTTTATGATTTCAGTCTAATAACTAATTAGTCAACATGTTTATTTTTTGTTAGTGAACACTCTAGATTGAAATTGAAAACACTATTTTATTAATCGAAGATGTCAAAAGTTGACATGATATGTCATTCTATAACAATGTAATTTTCTATCAAATAAAGTAAAATATAGTAAAAATACTGTAGTAACTTATTTTTAACGGACTGAATTGTTACTTACGTTGTCGTTCCGGAATTGACCAAAAATGGCAACGGAGTGGGGCACTGACTGTGGGGTGAACTAGCCAGCGAACTCCTGGTGCTTGAGACTTGGCTGTGGGGACATTGAGGCGGTCCCACGGCTATGGACCCCGGTCCCCGTTTCCGCGGCCAACACAGCGTGCACTTGCCGTTTCTTTGGATTACTTCTGAAAGAAGAAAATAATTAATGATAACAATTAAGTATTAGAATCAACGTACAATAATTAATAAAATTTAAAATACTTTTTTAGCTCTACCCAACAAATAAACTTAAGTAGTTTTAAAAATACAATTTTATTTATTTTCAGGTAATTTATGTTAAACACACAAAAACGTCCATATCTACTTCTTTTACATTAGACCTCGCAGATTCTGTGGGGAAAATTCTTTATTGTCTCTAACTAGTACCACAGAATAGATACAAATTTGTTGTATCTGTTCTGTGGTACTAAAAATTTGTATCTGTTCTGTGCTAGTACCTTTACCTCTGGAGCAGGCTTTGAGTCTTTTTAGTGAGGAAAACTTGCATATCTATGGGAAGAGTTTGTATACTGGCCCTTTCCTTCATTACTACAGGTGTTATACATATTATATTTAACAGTATATTATAAGAGTAATCGAAAAAATGAATTGACAACAATTAAAAACACCAAATAAAGCAAAAGAAATAAATAATATGACAACTATTTTACTTACTCAACCGAGCGCGTAGCGGCACGAGCTACCGCAACTTCTGTAGTTTTGTCAATTTCACAAGAGAATTGCTCCTGAAGCAAAATCGCTGGTTACGCAACTACTACGACCAAAGGTATCAAACATCCCCAAATAAGAATACCTAATGGCACTACCAACCTACGCCCAATGGATATTTTGTTTTACTGAAATTAGTAAAATTGCGGCACAAAATTCCGGACGCGCTTGCTCGAGGGTTAATGTAATATTTCTAATGTTATTATGAACACCCTGTATAATGTTAAATTAGTTGCTCTAAACATTTAATTAGGGCAAGATAAATTCTAATAGACCAGTAAAATTAGGAAAAATGTAAAGCACCGACGACAAAAAATATTTAATTATTAACTGCAATTAACTGCAAAATTTATCAAATGCTTCTTTTACATAAAATCTTGTTTGGTTGTAAAAAAAAGCTTGTAAGACTCTGTATATAAAAGTAAACAATTCCTTTGATTTAACCAGCGTATTATGCTGGTTTTATTATATTTATTTGTCATTAAGTAAATATAATAGGCTCATACAAACTGAAAAACGTGAAATCTGTTTATTGTCAAGTTTGACTTTGATAATTTTAGCGTTTATAGATTATAATGAAAAACTAAAAAGCAAGTTTGAAAGAGAATACTTTTAAATCTGTACGAGAGCTTATACTACACTACACATGCTGGCATAATCAAAGTCAATTTCCTGGATATGAATATCAAAGGACTCCATATCCAGTTCAAAATTAGATAGTGGCGATGAAATATGATCCTAGTATTGTCCCACTAAAAAGAAATAAAACGTTGACGATGTGTAATAAATCTTCTTAACAAGATGCAAACAGTTATGCTTCAGAATCAATAAAGAACAAAGAGGAAATAATAATACTGTTACGTTTTTCCTCGGTTCCGTGTGGATAGAAAGTCACAATTTATTTAAACACTATTTATTTAACACTAATTAACAAAAACAATAACGATAAAAGACTTATAGAACTATTTACAAACGATTTATAACTAAGAATTTATTTTGAATTTTAGCGCGTCAACTGCACTGGTATATTTATAACTGCCCCCTGTAGGTCACGGCCGCCGGTTTTTATACCGGCAGGTAAAGAACTCTAGAATTGTCCATAGATCGTTAGGTGCGTAGAGAAGGTTTTCGAATGTTCTCGTATGTACTCGTCCATTCCAGTGGGACTCGATTCTTCTCGAACGAATGAATCATTGCGGTGTCTATGCGATGTTAAGGTCATCCGAGGGCGGGCCATATTGTGAGGTTAGGTCGAGTCCACACCGGCCCGCAACACTGCCCCCTTCTTAGGCACATGCTCGTCCCGAGATGTATACGGTGAATGAAGGTATTTGCAAAGCTGGCCCCTGGTACATTGCGAAGTCTGGTAGAAATAGCAGTCTACAGTTTTCTCTCCCGATCTCAGCTTTGGGTTGTAGCAGCAAACGAGGATCTCGATTCCCGTAAATCTGAACAAGACTTCAATCATGTTCCGGATTGTACGCCAACTCAAACCATCGAGTCCACACGCCAGCTTCGGAATGGCTAATCGTGCAATGTTGTTGTTTAGCAGGGCTTCTCTCAGTTCAATCAGGGTCTTCCATAGATTGAGATAAGTCGGCTTACTCGGGGACCATTCCTTGGTGACCAGGTAGAAGATGTGCCTTGCTTGACCATGTGCATTGTCGGTTAGCCTCAAGACGCTTCCAACCTCTGGATCCTGTCGGCGTAGTTCTCCGACACGCCCAAACTTCTCATTGAACGTCGCAGCGATTCCTCTGGACATCCGCAAATCTCGAGCCACACAATGAGCGAGCGAATAATCAGGAGGCACGGAAAAGAGGTCTCGTTGATCTTCTTTGGTTACACCATAGCGAGCCTTCTCACTGCTGTTGTATCGGGCCATGAAATCGTCAAAGGACATCTCCGAATCAGGGGGATCAAAGCTGCAGGTTCTCACGGTCCCAGCACGATCTTCTATTTCGCCTTGGTAGGGGCTCAAACGGTTGAAATGGACTACCCTCGGTTTTCCTTTTGGCAATTTTCTGATACGGTATACGACGTCATTAATTCTATCCATGACTTCGTATGGCCCTTCCCACGAGGATTGTAGCTTCGGAGATAACCCACGACGTCTCTGCGGGTTATATAGCCACACCAACTTCCCTGGTTGGTATCCTCCATGCTCAGCTTGAATGTCGTAGTGTTCCTTCATTCGGTCACTAGCACTTTGAATATTTAGGCGGACTCTCTGATGAATGTCGTCCATCCTTTGACGTAGTGTGTGGACATAATCTTCTCCGGCGACTTCTTCTCCCGGTCGGCAACCAAATTTCAGATCACAGGGTAGGCGCACTTCCCGTCCCATAACGATGCTGGCTGGAGTTTGCCCTGTAGATTCTTGGACGGATGAACGGTAGGCCAACAGGAACAGGTGAAGAAATTTGTCCCAGTCTCTTTGGTGGTCAGAGACTACTTTGGCCAGATAACGGTTGATAGTTCTGTTCATGCGTTCAACCATCCCATCGGATTGTGGATGTAGAGCAGTCGTCCTGGTCTTGCGGATGTTCAGGACTTCACAGACGCCTTGGAACAGATTGGACTCAAAGTTTCTTCCCTGATCTGAATGAAGCTCCATGGGAACACCAAACCTGCAGATCCATTCTTTAACAAGGGCATCAGCAATCGTGGACGCTTCTTGATTTGGCAACGCGTAGGCCTCGACCCATTTGCTGAAGTAATCCATTACTACCACAATGTATTTGTTGCCATCGTTCGTCTCCGGGAAAGGACCAGCCACGTCGATCGCTATTCGTTCGAAGGGACTACCAACATTGTACTGGCGCATAGGGGCTTTACCACGCTTTTGTGGCCCATTAATGGCTGCGCAAATGTCACATTTCTTACACCAGGCCCTCACATCTTCTTTGCAGTTCACCCAGTAGAACCGTTCACGCAGCTTGCCAAGTGTCTTGGTAACACCAAGATGTCTCCGCTGGTTCCATTGTGAACTTCCTCCAAGACTTCTGGGACCCTCTTCTTTGGAATGACGATCTGTCTTCTCTCTTCTTGTCCCTCCGGTCTCTCGATCACACGGCGAAGTAGTCCGTTATCTATTACCAAGGAATTCCACTGGGCCCAGTACGACTTTACGTTCGGCGAATATCTGCAAACTTCTTCCCACGTTGGTCTTTGGCCTGTTTTTCCAGTTAATTACTAAACCTAATTCTGGGTCACTGGTTTGGTCATTTGCAAAATCTTCGGGTTGCCAACTATCATTAACCACAGTTGTTCTTAGGAGTTGCACTTCTTTCTCTTCTGCTCGGGAACAATGCTTACAGTCCTTAGCGCAAGGTCTTCTGGAAAGTGCGTCGGCATTTCGATGGATTGCCCCAGCTCGATGTTCTGTGTCGAAGTCAAATTCTTGTAATCGTTCAATCCATCTAGCTACCTGCCCTTCAGGATTCTTAAACTGCAACAGCCATTTCAAAGCAGCATGGTCTGTTCTTAACAAGAACTTTCTTCCATAGAGATACTTGTAGAAGTGTTCCACTGCTTTAACTACTGCTAGTAATTCTCGTCTGGTTACACAGTAGTTCCTTTCCGGTTTTGACAAGGTCTTACTAAAATAACCAATGACTTTTTCTTGACCATCCTGGATCTGAGACAGAACAGCGCCTAATGCAACATTGCTAGCGTCGGTATCCAATATAAAGTTTCCGTTGCCAAGAGGGTAGCTAAGTATGGGCGCACTAGTCAGGGCCTTCTTCAATTTTCGGAATGCCTCGTCAGAATCTGAGTCCCAAGAGAAACGCCTCTCGCCTTCGGTAAGTCTGGTCAATGGTTTTGCGATGGTGGCGAAACCCTGTACATAACGTCGATAGTATGTGCATAGTCCCAAAAAGCTTCGTAGTTCATGTTTATCTTTAGGTATCGGCCACTCTTCCACTGTCTTGGTCTTCTGTGGATCTACCGCAACTCCTTGGGAGGAGACTACATGGCCCAAGTAGTGTACCTTTTCTTGACACAGATGACATTTCTTGGGGCTAAGTTTCAAACCAGAACTCCCTAGTCGCTTGAAAACTTCTTCCAAATTCTTCAGATGATGGTCAAAGGATTTCCCAACCACTATGATGTCATCCAGGTACACTAAACAGGTAGTCCAGGATAGTCCCTTTAACACAGACTCCATTAGTCTCTCAAAGGTAGCTGGCGCGTTGCACAATCCAAAAGGCATGACGGTAAATTGCCACAGTCCGGAGCCCACCGAGAACGCTGTCTTCTCTGTCTTTCGGCGCCATGTCGACTTGCCAATATCCACTCTTCAGATCTAATGTAGAGAATATCGTTGACCCCGCCAGTGTGTCTAGAGTATCGTCTATCCTCGGCAGGGGATAGCTATCCTTCTTGGTAACATTATTGAGCTGCCGATAATCAA